ATCCAAGTTTCAGAAATAGCAATTATATTAAAATAATGTTTTAGACTACTAAGATAATGTTTTATACTCTGAAAGTTTGCGTATAAACTTCTGCTATTAAAGTGAATTAGTGATAATTTGTTTTCAGTCTTGACATTGCTATTAAACTGCTCATCCGTGTAATACTTAGTTATTTTCAGAGTTCTTAAAAAAGTTTTTTTCAGGGTCAAAATCATCATCCGGTTCATGATAATGAATTTCAGTAGTTAAACTGTTCATCTGTGTAATACTTGCAGTTATTTTCAGAGTTCTTAAAAAAGTTTTTTTCAATGTGCAAACAATGTGCAAAATGAATGGCTAAGGCCTTTATCTCAGGGGCACAGCAGCTTTGTGACTACTGTAAAAAGCTGGTTCAGCCATGCGATGCCACTCTGGATTAAAAACACAGTGATGGGTTAATGGTTTAATGTTTGTAACCACTTTAAGTAAGATTTTGAGTACATGACTTGTAATTGAGTATTTTTACATTATTGTATGGCAACTTTTACTTCAATATATGATTTGAATACTTCTTGCCCCTCTGCTTTGAATCCCCTCCAGGATGACACTACCAAGTCAGTCTCCTCCTACAGTGGGACACATTGTTGGGCAGCAGCAGCTCACCTCATACCTGGAGAAAGCTCTGAATGTGGGCCCACGAAATGTTGTGTTGTTTCTTCAGGACAAGGTACATGCACCTTAAATGCTTTCTGCCACTCTATTACAAGAATACAGGGAAATAAATATACAGAGGATTTACTGTTATAGTTAATCTAGCCACAGGGGTTTCAAGCCAGTGACTTCTGTGCTGGTCCCAAGCCCAGATAAATACAGAAGGTTGTTTCAGGAAGGGCATCCGACATAAAATGTGTCAAATTTAAACATGCAAATCATCGGCATGAGTTCCATACCGGATCAGTCGAAGTGGAGTGCACAGACAAAATGAAGGGTTTATAAGACACGAACCGCTTCAGGTATTTAATCAACTGACTTTGGTGGAGATACTTAAATTGGTGATCACTGCTCATGTACAATCATTGTGCAGAAGGTGTGATACCAGGGCCAAACTGTCTAAACCTACATGTTCAGATCTTCTCCCTAATTGGGGGCTGTCTGATGATACAGGCAGAGGACACAGATGCAGCACTGTGCTGGAGCACCACTGATTGAGATTGTGTAGAAGAAGAAGAGAGTTGTTATCTGGCTTTTTTTTTTTTAAACAAAGCTATAAATGATGTTCTCACTCAATTTTACCAAAAGTTTGTGGAGCTGTTGTCTGCTTCATACACTTTGTGTATTTCTGGGTTCATTGCGGCAGCGGCCTCAGCGGACAGCATGTGTTTTTGACAACCTGAGGCTCTGCTGCATACAGTTTTACTAGAGGAAGAGAAAATACTGTATTTAGCAAACACAAAATTTTTTTATTCAATTCCTTAGTTAAGGATTACAGACAAGGTATCTCAGTGTGTATTATATACTGTATGCTGACAGCTGTCCTGCAGTGAGACTGTGCCTTCAGGAGCCTCCGCCAGTATGAAATCCCAATCTGTTTAAACAGCGGGACCCACATGGGGCTTAGATTATACATCAAATTCACATTTTTATCATAAATTATAGTGGCTAACTTTCTGTCAAACCTAGTCTGGTGGGTGTTGCACTATTCCCACAAGAAATAAGACTTTATGATATGCAGGTGCCCTTCTAATTGCCTCAGTAAAACTATAAAACAATAAAACCCTGGAAAATAGGATGCGGGTGAGGTGCAAAACTTGTGACTTCATCAAGAGCCGTAAATCACCTTTTCACACTTCACTCTGTGAAGGTCATTCCATATCTCTCTGCTGTTGGTCTACAGTATATGATGCCGGAGAAATCATTTTTGCTGTAATTTAGTTAGGGGGAATTGCCTGAATGTGGGACATATATTGCATTTAAGAATTCTCACATGTACTGCTATGTGAAGTCAGTACATTAAACCCACACCCAGTAGGCTACCATTCCAAAATCCCCAGGATGTGTTCCAGCGAGAGCAAAAGAGAAAATGCAGTTATAAGCTTTCACCCAGGGGAGTTGCTGTGGCTCAGGAGGTAGAGCGGGTCGTTTCCTAACCGGAGGATTAGCGGTTCAATTCCCCGCTTGTCTGGTCAACATTTCGAAGTGTCCTTGAGCAAGACACTGAACCCCCAGTTGCTCCCGGTGATGTCACCGGTGTGTGAATGTGTGAGTGCTTGAGAGTGCAAATGGGTGAATGGCCGAATAATGTGAAAGCGCTTTGAGTGTGCTGTAAAAGCGTAGAAAGGCGCTATACAAGTATTAAGACCATTTACCCAACCAGGCTGTCGCTACGTTAATGTCTCTTGCTTTGACATTACTCTTTACATTATCAGTAGAATGTTCCCAGCCAATGTATATCTTTTTCACCAAAATATAAGAGTCCATATTCATACACATTCTGAGACTAATTCAGATTACAGATGAATGTTCACAAAGAAGTTGTCTTCTTTCATTCTAGCACACTTTACTATTTATTTCTTAACTTAAGGATGTTAACCATGTTTAATAGAGCTTTGACTAGAAATGTGAAACCCAGTGTAAAAGGTAATAATAATTTATCTGGTGCAGTATCTTCTTCTACACACCCCTTTGTGAATACACCACAAAGACACGATATTTAATGTTCAAACTGATAAACTTTATTGGTTTTTACAAATATTCACTCATTTTGAATTTGATGCCTGCAACACGTTCCAAAAGAGCTGGGACAGGGGCAACAAAAGACTGGGAAAGTTGAGGAATGCTAAAAAAAAAAAAAAAAAAACCTGTTTGGAACAGTCCACAGGTGAGCATCATGTTTGGTTATAAAAGGAGCATCCCAAAAGGCTCAGTCATTCACTAGCAAGGTTTAGACATGGTTCACCACTTTGTGAACAACTGCGTGAGCAAATTGTCCAACAGTTTTAAGAACAATATTTCTCAATGTACAATTGCAAAGAATTTAGATATTTCATCATCTACAGTCCATAATATCATCAAAAGATTCAGAGAATCCAGAGAAATCTCTGTGCATAAGCGGCAAGGCCGTAAACCAACACTGAATGCCCGTGACCCTCAGGCAGCACTACATTAAAACGGGCATCATTCTGTAAAGGATATGGCCACGTGGGCTCAGGAACACTTCAGAAAACCATTGTCAGTTAACACAGTTTGTCATCTACAAATGCAAGTTAAAACTCTACCATGCAAAGTGAAAGCCATACATCAAAAATACCCAGAAATGCTGCTGGCTTTTCTGGGCCCGAGCTCATCTGAGATGGATTGATGCAAAGTGGCACACAGTGGTCTGATAAGTCCACGTTTCAAATTGTTTTTGGAAATCATGGACGTCATGTCCTCCGGGCTAAAGGGGAAAAGGACCATCCAGATTGTTATCGGCACAAAGTTCAAAGGCCAGCATCTGTGATGGTATGGGGGTGTGTTAGTGCCCATGGCATGGGTAACTTGCACATCTGTGAAGGCACCATTACTGCTGAAAAGTACATACAGGTTTTGGAGCAAAATATGCTGCCATTCAAGCGACGTCTTTTTCAGGGACATCCCTGCTTATTTCAGCAAGACAATGTCAAGCCACATTCTGCATGTGTTACAACAGCTTGACTTTGTAGTAAAAGAGTGCGGGTACTAGACTGGCCTGCCTGCCTGCAGTCCAGACCTGTCTCCCATTGAAAATGTGTGGCACATTATGAAGTGCAAAATATGACAACAGACCCCGGACTGTTGAGCAACATGAAGCAAGAATGGGAAAGAATTCTACTGACAAAGCTTCAACAATTAGTGTCCTCAGTTCCCAAGCGCTTATTACATATACACTATATTGCCAAAAGTATTCACTCGCCTGCCTTCACATGCAAATGACCTTGAGCAGCAACTGATTCTTAATCGATAGGCACCTTCCGCAGGCACCTTCTGTTGACATTCATTACCAACCTCATACTACCAGTCACCTTTGGCAAATTTAATCCACCCCTCCAAAAAATGGCCAAACAAAAGATGGAAAACAGGAGCTTTCAAGACAGGTGGGAGGAAGATTATCTGTTCATTAATGTAAAAGACAGACCTGTTTGTCTTGTGTGCGGTGCCAACATGGCTGTAACGAAAGAATATAACATAAGAAAACTCTATGAAACGAAACACCAATAAATTAGAGATGAAAAGAAGGCTGGTTTCATGGCAGAAAATGTTCACAAAACAATAAGAAATGAATGCCACTGATTTTTTTTTTTTATTTGAAATTTGATTTCTCACGTGTTTGTAATAAGTTTGCTTGTTCCAAATTCAATGTTTAAGCAACTTGTTTGTTTCCATATGAAAAAGTTTATCATTATATATCTGGAGAGAAAGGAAAACATGCTCGATTTTATTCAATATTTCAATATATAGAGTCTGGCCCGCAACTTTGTCCCAGTTTTTAATTTTAGCCCGCTGTGTATTTGAGTTTGACACCCCTGGATTATTAAGTGTTGTTTAAAGGTGTTGGGGACCCAGTTCTTTTCACCGTTAACGAGGCAGTCCAAGTAACTTCAAAACTGTGCTGATTTATTCAATGATCACAGGTAAAAATTAACATTACACGCTCAGGAGTCTTTGCACCTCCAACATGCACGCAGGCAGCTGAAAGATGAAAAGCCCCGAACCATAACAGGCCTATACATTATATCACTTTTGGCTAGCCCCATACTACACAGGAACGTCAAACCGTGACGTCTCCCAGTTCCAGCTTTGCAGCTGGCCATAGCAGTAGTCAAAGCATGAAGAAAATCAATGATGTCTGAATGTCTGTTGATTATGTGGTGTGTAGCTAAAACATTCTGACACGACCTCTAGTGACATGTCATGACATTAAACTTAAGAAAATATTATGACTACGATTATGGTTAAACACGTCATAACAATAATATTAAACCTTCTGTCTCCTAACAGTCATTAACTTTCTGTCTAGTTATCCTTGAACCCGAACAACCTAGAGTACCCCATGAGAATGACTAAGCATTTAACAGCCTGATCTAGACATCCTGTCTACTCTAAACATTTCTAATATATAAAGTATCTAACCAATGTCTATCTGACTAAAAATACCTAACAAAGGAAAGGTGATGTAACACCGTGGTAAAAATGCCCCTGTCCCAGCTCTTTTGGAATGTGTTGCAGGCATCAAATTCAAAATGAGTGAATATTTGCAAAAAACAGTAAAGTTTATCAATTTGAACATTAAATATCTTGTCTTTGTGGTGTATTCAATTAAATATGGGTGAAAAAGGATTTACAAGTCATTGTATTCTGTTTTAATTTACGTTTTACACAACATCCCTACTTCATTGCAATTGGGGTTTGTACTTTCAGCTGATCCTGTCGCCACAGCGATCATCAGTTGCCACCCAACTCACGATGCGCCTGCTAAAGCTGCCATGTTTTACCCCAGATGCCCTTCAGCTGACATTGTTAAAAAGTCATGAAGTCCTAATGACGCATTTCATAGTCCAGTACACACAAATAATATCCTCAATGTACTGGTGGACAGTACATGAAATCTTACCTGCCAAGTTCTTCATATAATCCTGCAGAATTTTATTAAACACATGAGAACAGCGGCACTCTGAAATCAATCATATTGATTGGTCAATCATATTAGACCACTTGACCTCAGGTGGAACATTTAGCAACAGTGCATGTAAATTTGAAACTTCAATTTAAAATCCTCTACGACCTCATATAAAGCTCTATGAGATTTAACACATTGCTTAGATAGTGTACCATTTGATACTTTTGTCCACTTTCCTCACAGGCAAGTATTACTGCATAATTTTTGCTATATAATCATTGAGCCTATACTCACCATAATGTGACACATAGAAAGCTGTATTTCCTTTTTTTCCCTCATTACAGTTACCTATTTCCCTATTACAATAAGAGAAAACTATATTTGAACCTCCTGTTCCTTGAGCTAAATATGTGACTGTACTTTAGACTCAGTTTTGAAATATTGAATCAGAAATCAGTGTGCAGTGAATTTGACAAACAGGAAGTGAGGCCTCTGACAAATCAACATTAATAAAATTCATTCACATTTTAACTAAATTTATAAAGATGTCATCCACATCCATTTGTCCTTTGCCATTTGGCTATGTGCAGTGTCAACAGCCAAAGGCACATTGTCACATTCCAGACATCAGCACCTGCAGCTCAGTCCTTTTTTTTTTTTTTTCCTTTTTTTTTCCCCTTGCTCTGGAAGTGCAGGGAAAAGGAGTTTGAAAAGTCAGCATGACTCGCACTGTCTTTGATGATGAATACATAAGAGGGGGACCGCAACCCTTGTTCATAGGTCCCCTTGCCCCACGGTTGCCCTATTGACCCCAGGTAAATCTGCCACGAGTCCACTCAGGACATCTGTCTCTCACATGATCCAACTTCCCACAGTGGAAGCACCTTACTCTTGGCCTGCAGGAAACCTTTTTTGTCCTCAGAGGTGTTCCAGCCCACCCCCATAGCTATGCGTATATCAGTGGGGGATGACGACGGTAGGCACTGAAGACGGAGGGGGTCCGACTGGCTCGACAACAGTCACAAGCACAGGCACCTTTCTCGTCCCCCTTTTTTTCAGCCGTGGAACAATGCACCCCTTCACGTTGGTGTGACATTGTACACACCAACAACAACAGTAAAGCTACACAACAATAAAAGACACCTATCACTCTGTCCCCTACGCAGCCCTCGGACTCTCTGATCACTGCATGATCCATCTTATTCCAACCTACAGGTAGAAACTTAAAGCTGTGAAGCTTGTGGTCAAAACAGTGAAGAGCTGGACTGAGGAGGCTAAGTCAGAGCTACAGGTCTGCTTTGACTGCACAGACTGAAGTGTATTTGAGACTGCAGCTATAGACGTGGGGGAACTCATTGACACTGTCACATCTTATATCAGCTTCTGTGAGGATGTGTGTGTGTGTGCCCAAAAAGACCTGCACATACTACAACAACAAGCCCTTGTTTACAGGAGGTTGTGTTAGAATGTTTTTAGCTACACACCACATAATCAACAGACATTCACACATTGATTTTCGTCATGCTTTGACTACTGCCCTGGCCAGCTGCAAAGCTGGCCCTGGGAGACATCATGGTTTGGCGTCTCCTGAGTAGAATGGGGTTAGCCCGAAGTGATATAATGTATAGGCCTGTTATTGTTCGGGGTCTTTCATCTTTCAGCTGCCTGTGTGCATGTTGGAGGTGCAAGATACCTGAGCGTGTAATGTTAATTTTTACCATTCATTGAATAAATCAGCACTGTTTTGAAGTTACTTGGACTGCCTCGTCTCTCAGAGTTAGCGTGGTTAAAAGTACCGGATGCAACAACAGCAAGACTCAAGCAGCTTCGTCATGCCAAAGAGGAGGCTTACAGATGTGGGGACAGGACTCTTGCACAACCAGGCGAGGAACACACTGACGAGGGAGATCAGAGCAGCAAAGAGGAGCTACTCTGAAACTCTGAAAGCCCAGGTTTCAGCCAACGACCCCTCATCTGTGTGGGGGAGCCTGATAGCTCCACTATCTCCCAGGACCTGAAGTGGATGTCCAACATCAGGACCATCATCAAGAAGGCACAGCAGAGGATGTACTTTCTGTGCCAGCTTAGGAAGTTCGACCTGCCTCAGGAGCTGCTGATACAGTTCTACATGGGAATCATCGAGTCTGTTCTCTGCACCTCCATCACTGTCTGGTTTGGCTCAACAACCGAATAGGACAAGTACAGACTTCAGCGGACAGTCAGGACTGCAGAAAAGATCATTGGTGTGAGCCTGCCCTCCATGGAGGACCTGTACACCTCACGGGTCAAAAGGAAGGTGGACAGGATCACTGCAGACCCCTCACACCCTGGACACAATCTGTTTGAACTCCTCCCCTCTGGACGGTGTTACAGGTCACTGTGCACCAAGACAACCAGGCACAGGGACAGTTTCTTCCCCCAGGCTGTCACTCTGATGAACGACAGTATGATTGGACAATAACCCTCAGTGCAGTACCTGTGTGTGTGTGTGTGTGTGTGTGTGTGTGTACATAAATATTGAGAGCCAATGTACCAGAGTCAAATTCCTCGTGTGTCTGACACACCTGGCCGATAAAGCAGATTCTAATTCTGATTATGTGAAGTGCAACAAGCTTTTTTGCAGTAAAAATAACAAACATTACCAAATCAATTACAATTTGAGCCAATGTAATCATTGTAAAACTGCATTGTTTTGTACTTTGTGTTGAATTTTTTTATGTGATGTTTTCTTTCTTTTTCTCAATTCCAGATGAGCATAGAAGACTTCACCATATATGGAGGAGCCTTTGGAAACAAGCAGGACAGTGTTTTCCCCAACCTTGAGGTAAGACATGATTCATAATGAAAATCATTGTAATGTTTGGAGTCCTTATATTTTATACTCATGAGCTGTTAATTCTCTTTGATAACATAAGTCTCAAGTTTCTGCACCAATATCTGGAACTTCACTACCATGGTGTGTCCAGTGAAGGATGATGTCTCTCTCCTGTGCCACAGGGGGCCCTGATGTCTTCTTCCTCCCTCCTGGTGTTACCTGCTGTGTCCTGGCCTGCTTCCAATGCAGTGATTGGCCAGCTGCAGGACCAATTAGAAACCTCCCCTCTGTACATGGACTCTGAGACACTGAGCCAACTGAGACTCAATGCCTCCTCACCTGCCTTGCTGGTGTTCAGGCTGCCTTACAGCCTTGGGTATGTACACTGGACAGAATCGGAGTGAAAGGGTTATAAATGAATACTTTTCTTTTTTCATTTTTTATTGCAACACAAAACACATTTACCAGACAGGGGACATAACATAGTAGATGAGACAACAGACATTAACAAAAGATTATTAAATTAAGGTATTAAATTGTTTGTGTGTGTGTGTGTGTGTGTGTATCCAACTCTATTGGGGGGGAGTAAATGCAAAGGAAAGGAAAGACAGAATTGTAGACAGATGATTGTAGTAATAAAATTTAAAAAGAAGAATAAAGCAATTTCAGTCATGTACATACAATTTATAGTTACTTATATATACAGTTTGTATACACATATTAATAAAACAAAAATAAATGAAAATAAAAAAGAAGGGGTAGGTTATATTTTCAGTTATTCTGGTTTGGTTGATAGGCATGATATACTCAAAACAGTAGCATGGACAATGAGGAAGATAACAGTAACAATAATGAAACAACAAGCAGCTTGTTATATTTCTAGGAGTTTGTGGGAATGTGCGTGGCCTCAGCCCCAGGTATCTGGTTTAAGTTAAAAGTGGTTAGAAACGGATTCCAAGTGTTAGTAAAAGTTGGTATATTATTCTTATGGGTGGATGATATTTTCATTAATGTGATATATTCTATGAGAAGGTTGGTCCAGTGGTTGATGTGTAATGAATTTTTAGATTTCCAGTTTAGAAAGATTGGTTTCTTGCCGATAGCTAGTGAGAGTGGTTTTTATATTTACTTGATAGGTGGTCAACTTCTGTGATATTACTGAGCAGGCAGAGTGATGGAGATGGAGGATTCTACAGATCAAGACAGTTGAGAGTTTCTCTGTCACCGCTACCCAGAGGGAGTAAACAGGTTGACAGGTTCAAGTAGCATGGAAGTAATCACTGGTGCAACCCAGAGTGTATTGTGAACAAGTATCTGTGTCAGTGAAACCTATTTTAAGCATTTTACCTTGTGTGATGTGAGTCCTGTGAATAGTCTTGTATTGTATAAGCTATAAGTTTATATTGGTAGTCATCAAGAAGATATTATTACAGATCTCGGTCCAGAAGTCAAGGTTGGGGGTAATGACAAATCCTTTTCCCCATTTAGTCATTGGTATTATTGTTGTGTCTGTATTTGACATTGGTTTACAAAGTTTAGATATTATCTTCTATTTATAATTTGTAAATGAATACTGTTTGAGAAACCAATAAAATGGATTAAGCTAGGGGTGGGACATGTACACAGACATGTGGTGGCCATATTGTAATTGTAGGTAACAACCAACTCAACCTTAAAAAAAAAACAAACAAACAAAAAGCCAGAGTTCCAGGGCTCATAAAGTGGTACTGAAGATGATATTTTATAGTTCACACAAGAACCGCCTGTCACCATGAGAACAAAATTATATCTTGTTTTAACCAAAGCATATCCACATGGTCGGCATGAAAATGAGTGCACAATGAGTCCCGCTGTGGAAGATGACCTCTCTGCAGGCACTCCAAATTATTCCCTGCCTAATTTTGCCAGTCGGGGGTATTTGTTTCATTGGTGTGGCGGGGTGGACATTTGTCTTGGCAGTCCACAAATTTGTAAGTGCAAAAACAGATTTGAGAGTGCAATCCCTGCCATGCATGCTCTCGTTTTTGATTCTGCGCTCTCAGATTTCTCCACTGGGGTTTGTGTGAAAGTTTGTCCACACCAAAAATTTTTGAAGTGCACACAACATGGTGCGAGTACTTTTCAGCTGGCAAATCAGAGTTTCAGAGGACAGGAGCAGATTTGTAAGAGCAGAATCGCATTTAAAATCAGCTAAAGATACCATCTCATCCAGTTTCATAGCCTCTTGTAATTTATTCCATTTGATTTTGGCCAATGTAACTTTTCTTTGACAGTTCCATTAACTCAGTCATGGCAGGCTCAGAATTTGGTGTCACAGCAGTATGACCTCACGGTGGCTTACCTAAAAGGATTCTAGTGAGTTTTAAATTTAGGGAAAGGACATGGCACTAGTATTTCATGCGGACTGGTGCATTCCTAGAATGTAGATCAGGGTTTTCCCTTGGTTTTCAGATGGCTTAGGTACTTTTATTCTGAGGGAGGGTTAAAATTATTCAAAGTTCTAATTCTAATTTAGTTAAATTAGCAATTTCTTTACTTCTTTACTGTGCCATCTCTATTATTACTATTCACAAGAATTATGGCTTTCTTCATGTATTCTTTGTGGAGGCAGCTGAAAGTACTCCTTTGCCCATCTAGGCAAACAAACAAAACACTAATGAACATGCAGGATTTGTTCTTGTGTAATATAACATAAAAGATGGACAGACAACAGCTCCTCATAACCATTTGCATGTACACCATCTCACAGAATATGCCACATTTAAATCATTGATGTGAGGGCAGTTGATAGTTTTACCAGTGAAACCATCTAATTTTGGCATGGTTGGAACTACAGAAACACTCAGCTCACTCTAAATATTCAGTGGTGTTACAGAGTGATGGCTCTTTACCTCATAAATGATCTTCAGCTAACAGCAGATAGTGGTGTTATCTGTTTCTCTACCAGCTGCAGCGAGGCCACAAACTCAATGATGGCAAGTTTCATTTCATCTTGTCATCAATTCAAGTCACTGAGTTAACATTATTGTATGTAACACAAGAGTCTGTCCTGTTGCAGCTTATGTTTCATTTTGAGATCAAGTCAGTGCATATAACTCATCATTGTTTTTACATTCGTTCTGATATGTTGCCTTTTTCCATTCTGTCGGCTTAGGCGCTGCACCAAAGCTTTTTTATGCTGAGGAAAACCCTGTAAATTGAGAAATACAGAGATATAGTGTGCCCATCCACAAATTGCCTTAAGTACACTAGTTGTATGATTTCTTGTCTTTTGTATAGGTCACACATGTACAGTATACTGATGTTTGTGAAGGTCAGTTCTTTACTGTTTTCATGTGTGAGATGCTGCCTTTGGTCTTTCTGGTGCGTTGTCAGTGCCCGTGAGGATTGTTATGGCATGATCATAGTGTTTCAGCTCCACTCGTGCCTCATAAAATATAATATACTGCTCACCTTTCTGCCACCAGGTGTCACAAAAATCCTTATTCTACAGTTAGAAAGACAGCTTCTCTGTAACAAACACATTTTAAATGCAGTATATCACACAGCTGCTGACATAAACCCATTTTTATGTTGACCTTGTCAGACAATGACCCAGTCATAAAATAGCATATGGAGTTCACCAGCAACCAGTTTGCAATTACTTATAGTTAACAACAATATGCTGAGACAAATCTGTTTGTATTTAGTTCTTGTTTGCTTCGATGTCTGACACCCAAGACAGAAAATCATGTAAATGGAACAGCCACAGTGGGGTTCAACTGTCCTACTTGAGCCTCAGAGATCTGTTAAATAACTATTAGTATTTCTAATGCCACAGTGATACTGGAAATACTGCTGAACTGACTGTGCTGTCAGGAGGTGCTCCAGTAGCTGGTCATTGAGCACTGCTGGTCTGAGAGGTGCAGAAAACAACACATGAGCAGCTCATGAGTTATATATCCTGCACATTGTTGATCAGTCAGGCATTACAGGCATAGTTTTTTTAAGATAGGGTTGTTGTTGTTGCACAGCAGCCATCAGACGTGACTGTACAAACAAGAGGTAGCTGTCCCTCCCTCTGCCCACATTACAAGCAGTACTATATATTTTATAGATTAATAGAAAAAACATAGAGCCAAGATAAGCCATGATTACAGGCCTTTGTCATTCCATCTGTTTGTTTTTAAAGTATGACCTACAGTAGGCCGACTTGATGGTGCTGATGGTATACTGTAAAATCTTAGTCGTTTCATGTGGCTTTATCTGTGTGACAGCTGTGTGTAAACTGAATGTGGCCTGCAGGCATTATACTGCCATGCTACGGCACAAATGTACATTATTGCAGCAGGGTGTGACACCTTGAAGCTTGAAGTGCTGCCATTGTACATTTTACTTTAAACAAGCATTCAGATGATTGAGTATACTCCAGAGAGTGGCCGGGCGCACCCTTAGGGATAAGGTGCGGAGCTCAGTCACTTGTGAGGAGCTCAGAGTAGAGCCGCTGCTCCTGCACGTTGAGCGGAACCAGTTGAGGTGGCTCGGGCACCTGTTTAGGATGCCCCCTGGACGCCTCCCTGGGGAGGTATTCCAGGCATGACCCTCCGGGAGAAGGTCTCGGGGCAGACCGGAGAGACTGTCTCCCGGCTGGCCTGGGAACACCTTGGGGTTCCTCCTGAGGAGCTAGAAGAGATCTGTGGGGAGAGGGGAGTCTGGGAGGCTCTGCTCAGGCTACTGCCCCCACAACCCAGTCCCGGATGAAGCCGATGAAGAGGAATGGATGGATTCAGATGCAGCCACTTAGAATTGCATGCAGATGGCATGCAGTCAGCCTTCCAGGAGCCTCCCTTCTCCTGTTGTCTGATAAAAGCCTATCTAGATTCCACAGTAATCATGCCCATTAACCCTATAAAACCATTTGTATCATATTTCATATGTGATGTTTCTGAGCAAAAAAAATCGCCCAAAATGCCCCATGTATCAAATGTGATACAAAAGAAATAGAAATAATCTAAATAATATGGCACCTCTATTCCTTTGTGCCTGGACTGTCTATGCATATATGGCAAATAAAAATCGTCAATCTTGAATTTTGAATCATGAATTATATTTTGGATTTTGTTAAAAGGTTTAATAAACATCTCAGTTCCGAAAAATTAGAATGTTCTGGCTATTTTTTGATGCGTCAGGCTTTACAAGGTTAAATTCCTTGATTTGCACTGTCACCATTAGATGGTGTTTTGTTCTCAAAAATACACAAACCACAGCATGACTGGCTGAAGTACAGTATTCACACTGCAGAGTTGAGTTTTTATTTAGGCCACGTTTTATACAATAGAATCAGAAGATTTAGGCCACATAACATAAGGCTATTATGGAGTTACAGCTTCTGTGCTATCGTAAAATGGTACTTATTTATACTCACTGATGCCGTTGTTAATAAATGACAGCCAAAATTGTTTTTACAAGTCTTCTTTGAAGTTACAGTGCCTTGCGAAAGTATACGGCCCCCTTGAACTTTGCGACCTTTTGCCACATTTCAGGCTTCAAACATAAAGATATAAAACTGTAATTTTTTGTGAAGAATCAACAACAAGTGGGACACAATCATGAAGTGGAACGAAATTTATTGGATATGTCAAACTTTTTTAACAAATAAAAAACTGAAAAATTGGGCGTGCAAAATTATTCAGCCCCCTTAAGTTAATACTTTGTAGCGCCACCTTTTGCTGCGATTACAGCTGTAAGTCACTTGGGGTATGTCTCTATCAGTTTTGCACATCGAGAGACGGAAATTTTTGCCCATTCCTCCTTGCAAAACAGCTCGAGCTCAGTGAGGTTGGATAGAGAGCGTTTGTGAACAGCAGTTTTCAGTTCTTTCCACAGATTCTCGATTGGATTCAGGTCTGGACTTTGACTTGGCCATTCTAACACCTGGATATGTTTATTTGTGAACCATTCCATTGTAGATTTGGCTTTATGTTTTGGATCATTGTCTTGTTGGAAGACAAATCTCCGTCCCAGTCTCAGGTCTGTTGCAGACTCCATCAGGTTTCCTTCCAGAATGGTCCTGTATTTGGCTCCATCCATCTTCCCATCAATTTTAACCATCTCCCCTGTCCCTGCTGAAGAAAAGCAGGCCCAAACCAGGATGCTGCCACCACCATGTTTGACAGTGGGGATGGTGTGTTCAGGGTGATGAGCTGTGTTGCTTTTACGCCAAACATAACATTTTGCATTGTTGCCAAAAAGTTCGATTTTGGTTTCATCTGACCAGAGCACCTTCTTCCACATGTTTGGTGTGTCTCCCAGGTGGCTTGTGGCAAACTTTAAACAACACTTTTTATGGATATCTTTAAGAAATGGCTTTCTTCTTGCCACTCTTCCATAAAGGCCAGATTTGTGCAGTATACGACTGATTGTTGTCCTATGGACAGAGTCTCCCACCTCAGCTGTAGATCTCTGCAGTTCATCCAGAGTGATCATGGGCCTCTTGGCTGCATCTCTGATCAGTCTTCTCCTTGTATGAGCTCCAATCGAGAATCTGTGGAAAGAACTGAAAACTGCTGTTCACAAATGCTCTCCATCCAACCTCACTGAGCTCGAGCTGTTTTGCAAGGAGGCATGGGCAAAAATTTCAGTCTCTCGATGTGCAAAACTGATAGAGACATACCCCAAGCGATTTACAGCTGTAATCGCAGCAAAAGGTGGCGCTACAACGTATTAACTTAAGGGGGTTGAATAATTTTGCACGCCCAATTTTTCAGTTTTTTATTTGTTAAAAACGTTTGAAATATCCAATAAATTTCGTTCCACTTCATGATTGTGTCCCACTTGTTGTTGATTCTTCACAAAAAATTACAGTTTTATATCTTTATGTTTGAAGCCTGAAATGTGGCAAAAGGTCGCAAAGTTCAAGGGGGCCGAATACTTTCGCAAGGCACTGTAGCCTCAACACTGGGTAAAATATTCCAACCCAATCCCGTACTTTGTGTACGCATTAACACGCACGTCCACTGAGCTTGATGGGGGAAGTGTGCGGACCTGTCACAGATCGGGCATGGTTCAACTGCAGCCTAGCCAGCAGTTTAAGATGGTTGCATCTGTAGGTTGTTTACACTGTGCAAATTACATTGTGCATTTCAGGGAGTTTCCTTTGTGACACCAAAGGCACCAGATGCACTTGCACATCATTGAAGAAAGTAACACAGCGATAATCAAGGACCATGGTAAATAATGATGTCCCATTCAATGATGTTACAGGCTTTATTGAGAGCAGGTACAGTCAGTACGACCTTGTGCACCGCTGTCACTCAGTTACACCTTCCTCAAATGATCAAGTTTCACAAAGACATACCTTTTCTTCTTCAAAGGGGATATACTTTGTGTCTATTTTTGTATTTTATAATGTCTGAAAAGCATCTGTAGGTGGCAAAGTGGGTGATGCATGCGTCTTTAACAGCCTGTGTGCTCCTACAGAACACAGTTTCTGGATCATTTTTGGTACAGTGCCATTAATGCAGTGAATACAATAAGCCTATATTTTTATTTTATTATTTTAAAAACATTTAAAATGTATATAGTGGCGTGTAAATGAATCATTGTGTAGATGGATAAATAAAAGATTTCACACATTTCTGTGACTCCCCTAAGATTTCATTTTGAGATTTTCATGGGATCTGCCAATCATGGGGTCTGAGACCCCCCCCTGTATTTTGCACACTGGTTGTTTGACCTAGTTTATTGTTTAATGGATGGCATTTAAGATTCTCACTTCTTTGATTTCAACTGAGTGGATAATTTCCCTTAATCCCTCTCATTCCCTCTCTGTTTTTTTTCCACCTTTTTTGAATATGTCACTGTTGCCTCTTCTGACTGTCTTGCAGGGCTGATCTGATGTCTGCTAAAGAAATTCTCAGTGGAAATGGTGAGTCTGCCATATACTGTAGCCTGTCTTCATCAAAGGCTTGTTGCACATAAATAGGAGTTGCTTCAGTGAGGCGATGGGATACCACAAGATATCAGTGCAACTTCATTGATTGTTGGTATGCAGTGCCTTGTGAAAGTACCCCCCCAGTAAAAGTGTTGCATAATCTGTTACATGATGTCAGAAAATATACCTGTTCTGAAAGGCCCCTGTGTCTGCAGTACCACAACAGTGAGAAACACGGTCTGCCATAGGTATCCTAAAAGTATTAGTACTAGGTATATACATATATTTACCTGTTCCTACTATGTGCTGTTATGTAATTGTTGTTTTAAATGTTCATTTAATGTTTTAATCTAATTTGTATTCTAATGTTTATCTAGGGGTGATGGTGGTGCAGTAGTTAGTGCTATCGCCTTGCAGCAAGAAGGTTCCGGGTTCTGTGGAGTTTGCATGTTCTCCCTGTGCCTGTGTGGATTCTCTTGCTTCCTCCCACAGTCCAAAGACATGCATCTTAGGTTGATTGGTGACTCTAAATTGCCCGTGGAAGTGAGTGTGAGCGTATGTGGTTGTTTGTCTACAGCCCTTGTCAGCACAGTGTCAGCTGGGATTATAATACAAAGGAAAGTCACTTTCAGCTTTTCCCGTTTAGGGGTCGCCACAGCGAATCGTCATACTGAAATGTTGACATTTGGTACGTGTTTTACGCTGGATGCCCTTCCTGACTCGAACCCGGGCTGCAGCGGTAAGAGCACTGCACCTTAACCATTGGCCTACCGGGGATGGCAACAAAGCATGAAAAATGCCAAGGGGGTGAATACTTAACAAGGCACTGTATTGTTCAACTCTTCAAAAAAAATATTCCCTCATTTGGTATTATAATGATGTTGGTAGAGAGTGCTGTCTTAACACAGGTCAAATCTCCCATAGGTTTTCAGTTGGATTAAAGTCTGGTGAGTGTGAGGGCCATAATGTGATTCACATCACTGTTAACATATTGTTTTTCAGATGAGGTAATTGGTCAGGTGTTGAGCATCATGAAGACCCAGTCTGTTCCATACACAGCCATTTACACAGCCCTGCGGCCCTCAAGGGTTAGTTTGTGATTCAGTGTTCACTCTGTTCACATGTGAACATTAGTAAGTTTTTTGTTGTTATGAAGTAGATTTAATTCATATTTTCAGGTTTAATTGACTGTCGTCGTCCATCTATACAGGAAGCATCTGTCTCGATGGAACCAGGCCTGGCCAGAGGACGTTCTCTACTGCAGGCCAGAGGTGGATACAGGGAGAGGGAGAAAGAAAGGGAGAGGCAGCATAAGATCAAGGAGAAGCCAGGGATCTATGGTCCAGTGGAGTTTAAGGTGGACTGAATTAGTTATATCTTTTGATTGCATTTGGTATTTGTTTTTCTTATTTGTATCATCCCTGTCCTGTATTATGTTAAAAACAGCACAGCAGCACATAATTTGATGTGATACCTCATCAATTTTATCCTTTGTTCAAAATAAACACTCACTGCAATTCTGATGCTGCAACACATTCCAAAAAAGTAGTAAGTAGCAGTAAAGCATTTACACTTAAAAGACATTTAGGGACTGAGGACACCAGATGATTGTGTCAGGTGTCATTTTGTCCTATTCTTCTTGCAAACAAGTTTTAAGGTGCACAACAGTCCTGGGTCTTTGTTGAAGTAATTTGCATTTCAAAATCTGCCAAACATTCTCTATTGGGGACAGGTCGGGACTGTAGGCAGGCCAGTCCAGCACTCGCACCGTTTTCCTCCACAGCCAGGCCTTGGCAGCGTTTGTTGCTCCAACATTTATATATTATTCAGCATTAATGGTGCCATCACAGAAGTGTAAGTCACCTTTGCCAAGGGCACTGATGCAACCCCAGACCATGCCAGACCCTGGCTTTTGGACTTGTTGCTGGATGGTCCTTTTCGTCTTTGGTCTGGAGCACACGGCATAAATTCCTTCCAAAAAAAACCTGAAATACTGATTAGTCTGACCACAATGCATGTTTCCACTGTGTGATGGCACATCCCAGATGCCTCCGAGCCCAGAGCTTCTGGACACTGTTGACATAGGGCTTCCTTTTGGCACGGTACAGTTTTGAGCAGCATTTATGGATGTAACTACGTATTGTGGTGCCTGACACAGGTGTGCCAAAATAATCCTGAGCCCATGTGGTTATATTGATTATAAAAGATGACGATTCTTGATGCAGTGCCGTCTGAGGGATCAGAGAGCTCGGTCATCCAGCTGAGTCTTGTGCCCTTTATGCACTGAAATCCCTCCAGATTCCTTGAATCTTTTAATGATGTTCTGCACCATAGAGGGTGACAAATTCCTTCCTATCTTTCTTTGAGGAACATTTTTTCATACATATGTTGTCAAACTGGTGGTCCTCAGCCCATCTTTGCTCCTGAAGGCCTCGGCCTTTTCTAGATGCCACTTTGTACCAAATCATGATCCCGTCACCTGTTGACATCAACTATTTCAAATGAAATCATCATCCCATTGTTTTACCCCATTACTGACCCTGAAATGCAACCGTCCCAACTTTTTTGGAATGTGTTGCAGCATCAGAATTGAAGTGAGTATTTATTTTGTACAAAGAATAAAATTGATGAAGTATCACATCAAATAATGTGCTGCTGTATTGTTTTCAATGTAATACAGGACAGGGATAATTAATAAATCACTATTTTCAGTTTTAATTTTGAGTTTGCATACCATCCCAACTTTTTCTGATTTGTGGTTGTAGAAACACATTGTTGGTTTTGGTCATTTCATGGGATTTGTTGACAGTAAGACAATACAGAATATCATCAGCCTCATCTTTATAAATCATAATTCCTTGACGCTCTTCTCTTTTCTTCTTTTTGCTGCTGTTTTCTGTTTCTACAGAAGGGCCAAGACACGTGTATACTCCTGTGGGCAAAAGGCTTGTCAGTGGGCATTCTTCGGAGCGGTCGCTGGGAGGACCATGACCTGACTCCATCTACTTTTGGGGAAGGTGTCAGCCCCAAACTCCAAGGTTCAAGCTGTGACAAAACCAAAGCAAAGTAAGATCAGGACTGTAATTTACCTGACAGGTTTGATTAGATTTGTGTATTTTCAGCTCTGGGGGGCTTTAGGAAAGCAGCTAATAAAGGTTAATGAAGAATGTCATTCAGTGGTAGTGAACAGTTACTGTTACGAATAACAATGCTCAGGCCAAGTAAGGCCTATTTACACTGTGAATTTTAGGGCCTTTACTGTCCCAGAAGAAGGATTTGTCAGTCACTGTGTTCTTTATGTTGATCTTTGGTCATACTACAAAAGAACACGGAGCAGACAAAATTTTGAAAAACTGGTGAATCGCTGTCCAAAATTTGTTTGTCCACTGGGTTGCCCAGGGCCTCACAAACATTTCGTAAAAATTTTGTCAGAGTTTGAAATGTCTTAAATTTCTGCAGCACTTTATTCTCTAACAGATGGGTTTTTCCTTACTTCTTTTTTCCTCCTTTATCTCACTTCATGTCTTTTTTTGCAGGTTGGTTCTTAATTATGAGAATGTCCTCGGCCACCGCACCTTTAAACTGATGTAAGTCTGCACATTAATGTTGTCAAAAATATCAATTTTTCGATACACATTGATTCTGAATATGTGAAAAGGTTTCAGTATTCATTTTCCATAGTACCGATACACAGATTTCAGCTGTGCTCTTGCACGCTTTCTTCTGTCAAACAGTGAGTTTACACACACACACCACTGCAACACCCGCAGCTCCACCTCCTCTCACTTACTCACGGTGCTGCCTGTCTCTCATCGCTCTTCTCGTTTGCTCCAGTTGACTTTTTATCTACCAACAGACTGTGGTATGTTGCAGATTTTGCTGTGGTGTTAGCTCATTACAAATGAGATGTATAGAACCTCTGCTCCGTGACTGTTTTGGTTGACAAAGAAAATGGCAGAAAACAACACTGCTGTTGTTGAGTGATGCTACAGAGCAATGCTAACAGTAGGTGTTAACACAACTGATACTGATATTGATGTGTGTCACACGCAGTGCATGCTCCAGTTCACGGAATTTGTACCCGTGAGTGTTTTGATCAACACATTGATAATGTGCACGGTTCACAGCAACACCGTTAGTGTCGACTACAGACACAGTTTGCAAAAGACTGGTGACAGAATGAAACTCTGATCATTCAGACTGACAAACTAGAGCGTCATCTCCAGCAGGGGCCGTGGAGACAAACATCAGATATAATGATCAGCAGCAGATACAGACTTTATACAGTGGGGAAAAGAATTATTTGATCCCTGCTGATTTTGTAGGTTTGCCCACTTACAAAGAAATGAAGGGTCTATAATTTTTATCATAGGTTTATTCTAAAGGATAGAGACAGAATATCACCAAAAAAGCACATGATACAAATGTTATAAATTGAGTTGCATTTCAGTGAGTAAAATAAGTATTTGATCCCCCACCAACCATCAATAATTCTGGCTCCCACAGACTGGGTATGTGCTTATGTGGTGCACAAATTAGTTCTGTCAATTTCAGGAGGTGCTCCTAACCACAATTCGTTATGTGTATAAAAGACATGTGTCCACAGAGTTTCTCTATCTTCCATTCAAACCTCACCACCATGGACAAGACATTAGGTACAAGATAGTATACCTGCACAAGGCTGGAATGGGCTACATGACCATCAGCAAGAAGCTTGGTGAGAAGGAGACAACTGTTGGAGTGGCTATTCACAAATGGAAGAAATACAAACTAACCATCGATCGCCCTTGGTCTGGAGCTCCATGCAAGATTTTGCCTCATGGGGTAAGGATGATCATGAGAAAAGTGAGGGATCAGCCCAGAACTACACGGGAGGAGCATGTGAATGATCTCAAGGCAGTTGGGACCACAGACACCAAACAAACCACTGGTAAAAGTGCCACCATGGATTGAAATCCTGCAGCACCTGCAAGGTCCCACACCTCAAGAAGGCACATTTGCAGGCCTGTCTGAAGTTTACCAGTGAACATCTAAATGATTCAGAGAAGGACTGGGAGAAAGTGCCGTGGTCAGATGAGACCACAATTGAGTTCTTTGGCATCAACTCAACTCGTCATGTTTGGAGGAAGAAAAATGCTGAGTATGACCCTAAGAACATGAAGGTGGGAACATTATGCTTTGGGGCTGTTTCTCTGCTAAAGGTACAGGCCAACTTGGCCACATTGAGGGGCCAATGGACAGGGCCATGTATTGTAAAATCTTGGATGAGACCCTCCTTCCCTCAGCCAGGACACTGAAGATGGGTTGTGGATGGCACTTCCAGCATGACAATGACCCAAAACATACCACCAAGGCAACAAAGGTGTGGCTCAAGAAGAAGTACTGTACATTAAAGTCATGGAGTGGCCTAGCTGGTTTCCAGCACCTTAATCCCATAGAACCTCTATGGAGGGAGCTGAAACTTTGAGTTGCCTAGTAACAGCCAAGAAACCTTAAGTATTTAGATCTGAAAAGAAGAGTGGACCAAAGTCTCTCCTGAGATGTGCACAAACCTGGTGACCAACTACAAGAAACATTTTACCTCTGTGCTTGCCCAACAACAAGGGTTTCTCCACCAAGTACTGAGTCATGTTTTGCTTGTGGATCAAATACTTATTTTCCCCACTATATCTATCATACAAAAAGTGATACTGGGATTTAAACAGACTGTTTGTTTTACCTGGGAGTGATCAGCTGTAGGTCTATATGACACAAGCAAGGCACAGGATGGCCAAACTTTGGCACATGCTGACCAGTCACGAGCCCCGTGCACAGCTGCTGTGTTCACTGTTGTTGGTTGACGTGTAAACCAACATGAAGCAGGAGGAGCTCAGTGAACACTCGGTGCTTTTTAACACTTCTGAGTGGAGAACATGTATTTTCTTACAACCTTAGTAGGCAATTGAGGACTGGTCATGACAAATATTGGGGATACAAATTTTCATTTTTCTTATCTTGGGAATGCGGCGTGTCAATGGTGGAAGAAGTACTCAGATTGTTTACTTAGGCAAAAGTGGCAATACCACAGTGTAAGAATACTCTGTTAGAAGTAAAAGTCTTCTATTCGAAATATTACTTGAGTAAAAGTACAAAAGTAGCATAAAAATATACGTAAAGTACCAAAAATAAAAGTACTTTATGCAGAATATTACTTTTATATTACTCTATTTCATATTATTGGATTATACCTATTGATGTATTATTGTGTACACATTTGTCACATTTGAGCTCAAACAGGTCAAAGATTTTTAATGTGAAATCACTATATGTGCAGGACATACAGAAAATTGAAATACCATTTCTCTCTCACCTAGTATTGAATGCCATACCATTTAGGAAACTAAAATAGAATAAAAATAGACTAAAAAGAATAAGAAAACTAAGTCAAAGTGATTAGGATAAAAACTAAACGGTACACCATGTACAATCAGTGACAGTAGTGCAAATAATAGCAGGAAGATTGTCAGATAGTTGTGAGATTGAGATGCACATGGACAGTAGTGCAAATGCTGCTGCTGGTAATGGTGGAACTAGTGTTAACTACCTCATGTACTTTACATAGTGCTGAGCAGCTTGCGAATTTTACACCAAAGATCAATGTCTTATGATTATTCTGTAATTTGTTTTAGTAATCTCATTCAGATAAGTAAACTAGTAACTAAAGTTATCAAGTAAATATAAATTGTACTTAAGTACAGTACTTGAGTAAATGTACTTAGTTACTTTCCACCTCTCTGGGGTGTATCCCCAGGTCCCCCATGGAGATTGTGCCCTATAGGTCTACAGTCATTCTGCTGTTCTCTGCTACTAGCCAATTAAAGAAAGTCGTAGCTCATCATGTTATATGCTCTCAATCCTCATTCGGGTATCAGTTTTTCCCCACGGTGTGGGAAATGGTATCAGATGTTGATGTTTTCAATGTATTGTACTGAAGTTAGAAATGCCAGTATTGTGACAACACTACTGCACAACATACAGTGCCTATAAAAAGTATTGGATGTTTTACCCTTTTATTGATTTTATAAATCAATCATGGTTCAGTCAATTTGGCTTTTTTTTACAAAAAAAATTACAAAAACCCTCTTTAATGTCTAAGTAAAAACAGGTTTCTACAAAGTAATGTCAATTAAATAAAAACCTGTAATGGGAAATAAGTGATTCTATAAATATTCATCCCCTTTAAAATGACTGACCTAATTCAACAGAGGTTCAGCCAGTTGGTGCTAGTAGTCTCACAATTAGTGAAATGGGGATCTCCAGAGTGCAGTGAATGTGTCAAGTGACTGTAGTATAAAGACACCTGTGTCTGGAAGGTCTAGTCACTAGTTAATCAGTATTCCAGTCTACCATTACACCACAAAGACAAAAACAACACCCCAAGTAACTCAGAGAAAAGATTATTGAAAAGTATTAGTCAGGGAATGGATGCAACAAAAATTTCCAAGGCACTGAACATCCCCCAGAGTTCAGTTACATCCATCATCAGGAAATAGAAGGAATATGGCACATGTCTCAATCTTCCTAGATCAGGTCGTCCTCACAAACTGACTGTGCAAGAAGGAGACTAGTGAGAGAGGCCACCAAGAGACCTATGACTACTCTGAAGGAGTTACAAGCCTCAGCAGTTGAGATGGGAGAGACTCTGCATACAACAATTGTTGCCTGGGTTCTTCACCAGTCAAAGCTTCATGGGAGTGTGGCAGAAAGAAAGCCACTACTGAAGACAACTCATATTGAATCTCGACTAGAGTTCACCAACAAGCATGTGGGAGACTCCATGGTCAAATGGAAGAAAGTTCTTTGGCCTGATGAGACTAAAATGGTGCTTTTTGGCCATCAGATAAGGCACTATGTTTGGTGGACACCAAACACTACACATCACCACAAACACACCATGCACGGAGGTGGCAGCATCGTGCAGTGAGGATGCTTCTCAGCAGCCAACCTTGTAAGGCTTGTAAAGGTAGGTCAAATGAATGTGGCACAATATAGGAAAATCCTGGAGGACAATCTGATTCAGCCTGCAAGAGAGCTACAGCTTGGGAGAAGATTTAGTTTCCAGCAAGACAATGACCCGAAGCATACAGTGAAAGCTACACAGAAATGGTTTAAAGACAACAAGGTGAGTGTTCTGGAGTGGCTGAGTCAAAGCCCACACTTCAATCTGATAGAGAATTTGTGGCTGGCCTCGAATAGGGCTGTTCACACCCAATCACTGCGCAACCTGGCAGACCTTGGGCAGTTTTGCAAAGAAGAAGGGAGTAAAATTGCAGTGTCCAGATGTGCAAGCCTGATTTGAGACCTATCCACACAGACTCAGTGCTGTGATTGCAGCCAAAAGTGCATCTACTAAATACTGACTTATGAAATCACTTATTTCCCATTACATATTTTTATTTAATTGGCATTACTTTGTAGAAACCTGTTTTCACTTTGACATTAAAGAGGGTTTTTTGTATATTTTTATTTGTCAAAATAGCCTAATTATATTGACCATGATTGATTTATAAAATCAATAAAAGGTTAAACATCCAAGGGGGGGAATACAGTGTATTTGTACATCTTATTTTTGTTTTAATTGGGAATCAGAACTAATGCTACTGAAGATGAGTCAGTGTGAAGCAGAAACATACCACCACCTACTTCTGAACCATTTACTGTATAAATCTGCATATTTATGTTTGTGTGTGTCTCTAGCTTTGCAATGAGCCAGCGTCACTACAAAGTGTCTGCCCGGCACTGGTTCACACTTAACACTGTGGAACTGGAGTATGATGGGACCAAAGCCACATTTAATGGTAGCAGAAACATTTATGCCCCTGCTGAGTACTCATACCGCTGTGAGTCTGTCACAAGTTTCCGCTGGCCCCTCCTCGTTCCACGCTCATTCAAAGATCCGGCCAGTCAGTGGAGGGTCTCTTTTGAAGACTTCCAGGTAAATGAGTTTTTTTATTATTATTATTCTAAAATAATTTTCCATTGTTTATATCATTCTTTGTTCAGTTGCTTATTTTTTGTGAGGTTAGTTGTCACTAACTGTGACACATTCACGTCACACAAATGTTTATCGTTTTCTAGAAAATCAGCATCAGAAAATGCGTTTGCATGCATGTTTCCATCCAGGCATGGTATTTTGCTTGTTTGATGTATTAATTTGAAAATCAATCATTAGTCTCCTGTTCGCACCACATGGATCTGTGTTGGTCTGCCACTTTTTTCTCTTCAGTCCACATTTGTCACGTGTGTCATGATTAATTTGCCAAGTCTCTATTGCGTTTTGTTGTTTTATTGTTTCAGTACAGCAGCTCTTCATGTCAGCCAGGTACAAAGACATTTTGTGATATTTCAAGCATTTCCACCGAAGTTTTTTTGCAAATTTAATAAAACGGGTAGATGGAAACCCACCTACTGCAAGTGGAAAACCAGCAAATTAGAAAAAATGTTCAGTGATGGTGATATTTTTTGTGTTAACAATATAAAGAAACTGTTTGACATTTTGGGAAATACAAATTTGTGTTCATACCAAGAGTTACCATCCACAGCTGAATTCTGGGATTTACTCTCATATCATGCCAAAAATTACGCTCAATGCTCTATTTTATAAATGTGCCTTAGAGTGCCATTGAGTCACATTTAAAATGCTGATGGTTGTGGTCACTAAATGCATTTCTCCTGCTGCAATTTCTGCTTAGATTCTTTGCTTTAATAATGCACAGGGATGCTCACCATGGTGGCTTCCATACCTGCTATAAACACAGTTTAAAACCAATGTGCAGCCTAAGTGAAAGTCAAATTAACCCCGTGGGAGCTGTGACATCTACAGTGTTCCTAATAACTGACTGGATAATGTTTTTGTGATTATGATTGCCCAGTATCTATTTCTGTGCATGACAGTGTGTATAAAATAACTTTATGTGATAGCACTATGCATGTACCCAGTACCAGGTTCACTGAGCTTCTCAGTGCCCAGTAGAATCACAGCAGGGTGATTTATTTGTATGTTAATAGTCATCTAGTATGAAGGAAGGGCTGGTAGAGTCTCTTTGGTCCTTCCCGGACTAATCCTGTGTTGGTGATGAATGATGTGTGTGTTTTCCCCTAATGCTGATTGAATTAGATCACCCCATGGACCCACTGCTTTCCCAAGGAGCACTCAAAGGCGATCCTGCAGTGAAGTGTATCAATAAGCGGGTGTAGTGTTGCTGTGGGCAAACAGCCGGTGATGAACAGGGGAAGCACGCTTAGGGAGCCCCGCTGATCACACAGCATATTGGAAACCCTTGGTGCTAACGTCTGTCGGTCCCTGCCATGGGGCCAGAGAGGGGTGGAGCTACACAGAGCTGACCTGGAACCACACACATGGGCCAACTTCAGTTCAGTTAAATGTTCAAACCCTTGCCTTTCTGCTATTGGATTTCAGCAGAACTAAGACCAGATGATCACGTTGTTGTTTGAAAACAAAGCATCTAGTGAGCAAAGCGTTTTGATGGCTTTGTTCTGAAGGCTGGCTGCTTTGACATGGGCCCCCATAAGGCCTCTGACAGCTGAGTTCCCACTGTGGCAGATTGATATTTGTAATTTAAGGGAAGCTGTCACACAGCATCCTCCAGATGGAGAGTGTCGCAGAGGCATGCAGTTGATTAAACACGGTTTGTTTAGAAATAATTATTTTGATGTGGGAGCTGAGGATTCATTTGAGGCATATTGGCTCAAAGGTTCAAAGTGTTCAATTATGCGCAGATAAATACACTTTCATAATAATAGCACGTTGGTGTAGAATTCAGTGGTGGATAAAAGCATGTCTGTCATTCAATGAAGCCCTTCATATCACAACAGAAAGGACAGGTCAGTGGTTTGTGTCCCAGTGGCAGAAAAGGTTGAGGATTGGTTTCACTTGAGAGCTAATTCATTAATTCACCCATTGTTGCGTACACACACACACACACACACACACACACACACACACACACACACACATATATATAGTGCTTCTCTTGATGTCAGTGGCCTCTATCTCCTCCTTTGGCCTGCTTATTATGTCAGCGGGGTACCTGATGACCGGCAGGGCATAGGTGTTAATCTTCCGGACTTTGTTTTTTTCCATTCTCAGCATTTGAGAGTGTGCAGACACAGATTTGTAAGTGCAAATACAGATTTCAGAGCGTAACCAAGGCTATGCATGTGTTTGTCTGAGTCTGAGCACAAAACAAGTTTAAAGTGCTATTTGGTCTGCAAATCAGAATTTAAGAGTGTGCAGGCACAGATTTGTAAGAGTAGAATCAGATTTGAGAACGAGGGAGGACAGAATCATGTAACAGATGATTTGAGTAAGCAACAGGATCCCCCCTTGCTCTCAAATGTGATTCTGCTGTTACAAATCTGTGCCTGTGTGCTCTTGAATTCTGACTTGCAAACCAAATAGCTCTCGAAATTTGTTTTGTGTGCTCTCAAAACTTTTGGCATTGCCAAACTTTCACACAAAACCCAGTGTCGGAGACAGACTCGGAGACAAGCACACACATGGCTGGGTTTATGCTTTCAAATCTGATTCTGTGCTTACAATCATGTGCCTGCATGCTCTCAAATGCTGAGTTGCAAACGGAGTACCACTCAAAATGTGTTTAGTGCACCCTCAAACATTATGGCGGGGATTTACTTCAATAAATCCAGGCTAAACTTGATGACATCTGAAGAGTTCACACTTTTTCCATGCACACAGTCTATTGACTATTGTCAACATGGGTGTCAGGTAACCAACTACACCTTAAATGCTATGCTGACTTGAAACTAACAGATGTGATGGGGACGCATGTTCTTGGACAAGTGGTTGAATATGAACCATGGCCCATCACCTGGAACAACCAGCAGGCACATTGTTTGTAAGAAAGGAGTAAGCTTATCCTTGATGGATAAGCAAATCAGTGCTCTGGTCCCATAAGCACAGTGCTAGTCACAAATCAGCTATTAGATGCAGACAGCAGTTATCCATCATGGCTTTCTGTGCTAAATCGCACCAGCTGCACCACTACCAGTACCACCCCTGAACCTACTAATATGACGACCACCACTTTTGCTGAGGCCGAGGGTGACATTGGGCGCTACACCAACACTGTACACAGACGTAGGCTAGCAGTTAGCTTGAATACCTAGTTGGAAGTAGCCCGAGTACCTGGATGCACTAGTGTGCAAACAAGATCTTTGCACAGTGTTTAACAAACAAGGACTAGCAAAACTACTGTATGAAATAATCATCATAGCAAATCCTTAACTTCTTTTTTTTTCTCAACATTTAGTTATGTAGGCTAATTATTGTCATCTGAAAAGAAATATTATCTTTAACGCAACGCCCTCAGGAGGAGACACAAAGAAAAATGCAACAAGCTGGTGCAAATTGAACAACTGTTAGAACACAAATCAGCTGAACTGAGGTAAATGCCATGAATGATATTGATAATCTTGGCTTTTGTGAAGAAGTGTCGCTGCTTACTTCATACAGTATGCTTACCATGACCCAAGTTCAGTATTTACATGAGTACATACTGTGAAATAGGGTTTTGAGGTTGATAATAAGACTGTGTGCATAACCTTATCAGTTGTAAGTGTAATATAGACCTAGGAGGGTCCTAATGGCTGAGCTGCCCTTCACTGCCACAGAGCCCCACCCACCCAGTAGCATGCTGACAGTGAGATTCCTAAAGTTGTGTGTGAAAATGTGGTATGACGTGTAGAGACCACAGAGAACAAGTGAGCATGTTAGTTATTACTTTTGATAAACCTTGTCTTTGGGTTAGTTATTCTCTTGAGCTTTTGTCCCTATGTTGATACAGTGGTCAACAGATGTTATCACAAACTGAGACTGTTTTCGTTTTGCAGTCTCAGAATCAACATATAGTAAATAGAAGTTAAAGGTGTGTTCTACACTTATGGGTCCACGCAAGGTGTTTTAACAAATACACAATAAACAATACATAGAGACGCTTAAAGTGTTACCAGTAAGATTTTTATGGTAAGTGGTTTTTTTTACTTTTCCTCCACAGATCCAGGGCTTTAATGTGACTGGCAGTGAATTCTCATATGCCAGTGACTGTGCAGGCTTCTTCTCTCCTGGTATCTGGATGGGTCTGATGACCAGTCTTCTCATGGTGCTAGTACTCACCTATGGCCTGCATATGATCATGCAGCTCCACACTATGGATCGTTTTGATGACCCCAAGGGCCCAGCCATCTCTGTGCCCCAGACAGAGTAACACAGCTGCAGCCCAGCCGCTGACTTCACCCTCCAACTTTTCTCCTTTCTGTCCCCCAAATGCTCCTCTTAATGTGTAGCTTCCATTCCTCTCCTTCCATTCAAGTATCCATTCATCTGTATTGGGCATTATAGAGAATAATTATGATGTTATCAGAAAAAGGGTTTATTAATCACTCTATAATGTGCCACTTTATACTAGGAAATGTGCATCCTGAGACTGAAGAGTCTACTTTTCAGATGCCAGTTAGGGCATTATTTAATTTAAGTCACAGTGGTAAGAAAGTTTGTCTAACAGGTAATACCTGACAATGCTTAAACTCCAGAAGCTTATTTAACACCAACACTGTTGACAGTGTTGTGAAAATATTTTAAGAATTCTCACTCATCTAATGAAATGGATGGAAAAATACTCACTTTTCTGCATAAGAGATTTTTAAGAGATTTGTGATAGTAGCTGTAAATGGCACTATATTGATTAAAGAGCCCATTGCATGCTCATTTCCAGTATTTCATTAAATGTTTAATCTTGGGTACCTCTAGATTAGCTTTGCACCCCTCCTAACTCCAAATAGTCTGTAATTATTTCAGAATGATAGAACCCGAGAGCCTCTTCCTAAAAACGGGAGGATAGCTCAGAATATGCACAGCTCTTGCTACCAGTCAGGAAGCCAGGACAGCGCATAAACAAAATACACTGACAAATAAGCTTCATTTTCGACAGTGACAATACTTGAAATCCTACTTGACATGTTTGAGCCAGAATATGAAAATGGATGAACCCTAACAGCATTAATTAACTTGAATTTCTCCTCCATAGATAGGTAAACAGTATATGTACCGAAGGAAATAAAAAAAGTAACACCCTAAACAAAGTGGGTAATTGAGAAATCCCATATTTTAACATAATGCAACTTCTCCAGCCTTGTGACAATTCTAACTATATACACTTATCGTTAAGTCCTACTGAGTAGTGGAAACATCACTCCCTTTCAAGTAGCTCCAAGGTTGGTAAATCCAACCGTTGGTCGTTGCTTCTTCCCCTACACAACCACATACACCAGTCCAAAGTAGTTAAATTCCAACAGGCAGAGTAGCGCCAACATTGATCCACTTGTTAACCAGCAACACATCACATGCAGCAGACACACTGGCCTCAAGCAGTCAAAACAAACAGATACTGTGCTCCAGGGGAATCCGGCGTTGATGAGCTGAACATTCACCGCCATGGGGGGCTTCACAGGCCAGCTGCTTGTAGGTTAGACCCAGTCGGGTAAAACAGTGAGTTTCCTGTACAGGAACATTCCTGGACATGCAGTAACCTCAGGCCCTGTATTTTTCTCCACATCCTCTGGTCACAGTGCAGCAGCAGGAGGTCAAATATATCCACAAAGCCATGTGCAGTCAAAAAATTCCGCTTTTAAAATGGCACTGGTGGATGTCAGGTAAGCATGTGCCTGGAGATTATGACCATTCATTCGTGTCAAAGTAGTGGACATACAGTTGTGGCAACATTAAGATTTTAAATGAATAATAATTATACTTATGAATTTTCATTTGTCAGCCACTTTTTGCCATTCATCTCTCAGCCTTTTTGTCACTCTTGCAGATTTATCTTAACTCTAAATTCCTTGTAGCCCTCCAGCTGAGGCTCTCTCTCTGCTGGGGTGCCCAACTACACTC